TAGCCTCGCTCGGCTCGATCCAACCCACTGGGGACCTACCCGGCCTATCATACTGTTACGCCCCACAATATTACGTTAATATTACGTCCTGCAGTATTAAGTTAGGACAGTGTTGTACCCGACAGTATTACATTACGGTGATATTACGCTTCACAGTAATAAGTTACGACGATGTTGCACCCTGTAGTATTTTACGTTGAATTTATCGTAAGGTAATTGACATTTGTCCAAGGAAAAGATTATTTGGGGATTATAAGGATTATGCTATTTCACAATTGATTAGTAAATTCGTGAACGTGAAAGGGGGAGCAAGTCAAAGAAAACGAATTTTGTCGAAGTTTGGCATTTTGGGATAAAATACGGCCCGAGCTAAAATACTCGGTATTTAGGGACTAGTACCATGCAAGGTACCAAATGATCACGGTAGTATAAGGTATAAAGTATATTAAAAATAAATAGTATTTTAAGTAATTTATGATAATTTTTTTAATTATGCGGGTAATTAATTAATTACCGGGTAACAGTACATTACCCAGTTAACTAATAAGTGGATAAAGATTAATTATCCCACCCCAATCCCACGTGGTAGCCTGCCATGATACAAAGAATGACTAAGTCATTCCTTGCTAGGTGTCGTAAAGATACCATTTCCAAGACTTGACTAATCAAGTCTTTCAATTAAAGACTAAAACAAAACTATACCAATTTCATTTTTGAAATCTTTCAAGAACGTGAGTTAATACTCTAAGACCCTTAAAGTCATTTTTTAAGTCTTTCAAAACAGATTTTTGCAAAATCATCTTCAATCTTTCAAAACTAAGAACATGAGTTAATGCTCCAAAATCTTTAAAGTCATTTTTTCAAAGTCTTCCAAAACAGAACTTTGCAAAATCATCTTCAATCTTTCAAATTTCAAGAACGTGAGCTTTTCACAATATTAAAATTTCTTCCAATTTGTTTATGTAGTTGATATTACATTATTTTGAAAGATGCATCCATGTTCGGAACATTGGGGTATACCATATTCTTATCATTAATAGCATGATAAACTCATGAGCAAACTAAAATAATAAATTGGTGTTTTAATTATTGATCACTCTTTAAGAATTGGAAAAACAGAAAAAAGACTTTTGGTAGTAGATTAGTTAGGAGCTTGGGATGTTCAAGTATTTATTCACTCGTATAACTGCTTAATATATGCCTGGTCATGAGATAATGACTAGCAGCTTATGCTTCAATGTGAACTCTTTCATCTTGTGTACCGTTCCCAAGGATATTATGGATGTTGAAGGGAATTTAGTCTGTTCTATTATACGCTTGCTGTTACATGATGAAACCATCTATAATTGCCTAAGAGGTCTATTCTTGATTTGACTGGGAGGATGACCTTTGAGAGTGTTAGATAGTTTATTGAGTTTCTGCTGGAAAAGTTGCGTGAGTGTTTGAGAAAAAGCTTAGATGTTGTTCAACAGGAGGTTGTTGATACGAGTGCTGAAGTTTACAGGTATATTAAGGCTAAGCTCTTCCTTCATTTTGCATGATCTCGTCATTACACATGTTTGGTAACGGGCCATAGAGAAAAATTCATATCCTAAAATTTACGTATATTTTTCTAGTTTTGTAAGTTACAATATTCTCCTTATCGGGACTTTATATTCAATTGAGTAATTTCCTCTTCCAGTCAAGAGAGCATAGAGTTTATATATACAGTATTAAAAGTATTTTCATTACCATCGAGCTATAATCGATGGGCAGGCCCCTATTGGGCAACCTCTGATCAGATGGTAAGTTATATGACGATCCTACTGTGGCCGAGCGCTTATGAGCGAGCCCAGTTGGTGGAGATACAGAGCCTAGTATGGCCGAGCGCTTATGAGCGAGCCTACTACGGCAGAGCAAATATATATGTATATCGAGCCTTATAGGGCCGGACAACTATTTTACTTACTGTATTTAGAGAATTGAGTCAGTATCAGCAGGTAAGCGTATCTTCAGATTATCTTTGACTTCCAGCTACTTGCAGTTATTATATTATCAGTTCAGTTTCAGCTTTCAGTATATTGCTTACATACTCAGTACATTATTTCGTACTGACGTCCCTTTTCTGGCGGGGCTGCATTTCATGCGTGCAGGTCAGACAGACAGATGAGTAGGCCTCTTCAATAAGTGTTGCTCGAGCTCAGCTTGATCGATAAGCTCCATCACTTTCGGAGTTTCCGGGTCTAGAGCCTTACGTATATATGTCATGAGTAGGTCGGAGAGCCGTTCCGATCACAGTATATCCATCAGTAGAGGCTTGTAGACATATCTTGTCAGTTAGTGTAGTATGTTAGGCGTTCAGGCCTTGTATGTATATTTGGTTGGTTTGTCGGCTGTAATAAATATGACGGCCTTGTCGGCCAAGTTTTATATTGATATTTAGTCAGCATTCGTTGTCATCTTGCAATGTGGCCCATGGCCAAAAGTATGACATCATATGTTCAGAGTCCCTTAGTTGCAAGTTGGTACGCAAGGATAGGTGAGGTACCGGGTGCCCGTCGTGGACCATCAGTTTGGGTCGTGACACATACACAGCCTCATAGGGTGCCATCTGAATGTTGGACTAATAACAGTTGTTGTAGGCAAACTCCGGAAGTGGCAAAAACTGATCCCAAGAACCTCCAAAGTCCATCACACACGTACGGAGCATATCCTCAAGAATCTGAATAGTGCACTCGATTTGTCCGTCCCTTTGGGGGTGAAATGTTGTGCTAAACTCCCCTAGAGTACCCAACTCATGTTGTACGGCTCTCTAGAATCGTGGTGTAAACTGTGTGCCCCAGTCAGAGATGATAGATACCGGCATGCCATAAAGTCTGTCAATCTCACGGATATAAATGCGAGCCAGCTGCTCGGAAGAATAGGTGGTCATCACAGGAAGGAAATGAGCTGACTTGGTCAGCCTATCTACAATCACCCAAACTGCATCAAACTTTCGCTGAGTCTGTGGGAGCCCAACAACAAAGTCCATAGTGATCCGCCCCCATTTCAACTCTGCAATCTCTAACTTCTGAAGCAATCCACCCGGTTGCTGATGCTCATACTTCACCTGCTAGAAATTTAAACACCTAGAAACATGCTCCACTCTGTCCTTCTTCATTTTACGCCATCAATAATGTTGTCTCAAGTCTTGATACATCTTCGCGCCACCCCGCGTGAATAGAGTACCGTGAGCTGTGAGCCTCCTGAAGAATCTACTCACGTAAACCATCTACATTAGACACACATAGTCTCCCTTGCATCCTCAAAGCACCATCATCCCCAATAGTAACCTCATTAGCATCACCGTGATGAACCGTGTTCTTAAGGAAAAGTAGATAGGGGTTATCATACTGACGCTTCCTGATACGATCATAAAGAGAAGACCGAGAGACCATACATCGCCATGGGCCTCTCTGTGGCAGGAAGATAAGACAAGCTCCCCAAACTCTCTACTCGGCGACTCAAAGCATCGGCCACCACATTGGCCTTCCCCAGGTTGTGCAAACTAGTGATATCATAATCCTTAAGCAACTCTAACAATCTCCTCTGATGCAAATTAAGATCCTTCTTCTTGAACAAATGTTACAAACTCCGGTGGTAAGTATAGATCTCACAAGGGACACCGTACAAAAAATGCCTCAAAATCTTCAAGGCATGAACAATAGCAGCTAACTCAAGGCTGTGGACAAGATAGTTCTTTTCATGCACCTTCAGCTCTCTGGACGCGTAGGCAATCACCCTACGGTCTTGCATCAACACCGTGCCGAGGCCAACTCGCGACGCATTACAGTAGACAATATAAGATCCCGAACCAGTAGGCAATATCAATACCGGGGCTGTAGTCAAAGCTGTCTTGAGGTCTAATGTAACAAAACCGTTGCCATAGAGTTTTGTGTCGCAACGGATATTTTAACCGTCGCAATAGAAATGTATATGGCAATGGTTTTGGGGAAAAAATTCTATGGGAACGGGTATTCAATTCCCTCGTTTTTTCCGCTAAAAATTATACTGGCCCGCCAAGCTAATTAGTAACATGTTATTTTCTTATTTTTTAAAAAGTTTTAACATTACTGGCCTAACTCCCAAAGTCCCAAATGTATCCCAAAATCGCCTCTCTGATCTTTTTCTTTTTCATATTTGCCGAGTTTAATGGCCGAATTTCATCAACCTCTTCATTAGACCACTATAATCATCAAACCCTAGAGTTCCCAAAGCCCAAAACCCCAAATCCCCAAATTAATTCACCGACACAGTTCCGTCAGTCTTTCCTGCACTTCGCCGGCACTTCTTCAAGGACAGCTGCTGCTCCGGCACTTCTCCTGCACTCCTTCCCCAAATCCCCAAATTAATTTATTGTTAAGAGGTGATTCTTTTTGTATGCTTTTCTTGTTTTGATTGTTCTTTTATCTGGTTTTTTTAATAGAAAGGTAACAAATTTATCAACAAATTTTTTGTCTAGCGCTTTTTATGGATTTTCAGGTGGTAACCTTAGATCTGTTGCTTCATCTGGTGCAGTTTGCAGGTAAATTCTTATACTTTTTTCCTCCGTTAGCCGATCTTTTTTTGTTTTTGGTTGCTTTCTCTTTGGGCTTTTCTTTCTCTGTTTCAAGCTTTTGATTTTCTGATGTTGGTTCTAGATTTATCTGCAAATTTTTTTCTTATTTGAGATATATGTTCTAATGGACATTATTCCCCCTTGGTTTTGCTGTATAAAAGATCTCTTAAAAAATAAGTAACAATTTTGAAACTTGGATTCTCATAAATATCTTTTCTTTACTTATTACTAAAGTCTAAAGCTAAAGCTTTTGTCAATAAGTTCTGATTTTGTGAACATGGTGACAGAATACAAAATTTTTGGGTAATAAATCAAGCTTTGACAACTATGGGGGCTACCTCGTTTGGGTCGTTTCCTGTTATTGTGTGTTTTTTGTTATGTTTCCAAGAATATCCTGTTTTTCTGTCATCTTAGCTTTATTTGTTTATCTGAGGAATAAGGGTGCATAAAATCTCTCAAATTTGATTTGTATAACTATGTGTTTTATCCTGGATCTGACATCACGATGAACGATAGGTGGCTGAACTTTTTCGTGTAGGTATTCGAGGCCTTTTGCTGCACCATAAGCAATTTTAACTCTCTGATTCCAGGTAAGAACAGGACCTGGCTCAACACCTTTTACACCTTTTCTACCTGCAATGGAACTCTAAACAATCAACTATATGCTGCAATAAACATACAGAAAGAAAGATTCGCGCAACAACTATATTAAAGTACTATGATTGAATTTTTGACGTACCATGTAATACATCGTGTAAAGAGCCCTTTGTTGCGAACTCATATACCAATATATGATTGTTTCCCTCGAGACAATAGCCCATAAGAGTCGTGAAATGCTCATGTTTAAGTCTTGAAATCATTGATAACTGAAATAACTTAACCATTTCAATTATGCGTGTTCTTTTCTAAAAGGCTAAATGATCAAAAATGGAAAAAATGCATTCATTCACCTGGGCTGCAAAGTCAGAATCTGGTTCTGGTGAAGAACTAGTATCCAAGTTTTTGATTGCTGCTTGCTGGCCATTGCTCCATTTAGCACAAAACACGCAGCTATAAGATCCCTCTCCAACCAAAGCTTTCTGACCAAAGTTGCCAGTTAACCGGAGCCTCAATTGGTAATACTTTCTGAGGAGCTCCACCTCTCGCTGCACTCCTGGCTCTCCTCTTTCACTGAAGTTGAGATGTATGGAGACTGAGTACAACTTGGCATTTGAAATTAAACTAATGCCCGCATTAGGTGAATCAATGAGAAATGCAGCCTGGTCCGTGTCCTCTAAATGTGTTAGTGAATTGACCAGACTAAATAAAGCTTCACTTCTGATGTACTGGTTGTCTGGGGAGGGTAGAATGTGCGCAGAACTTACCCCTACCCCGGAGGGGTAAAGAGGCTGTTTTCCGCCACTTTTCTCGATTATCAAAAAAAATATTCAAAGAATTTTATTGTATTCCTCATGCTGTATGTGATTCTACTATTAACTGACCTCTCCTTGATCTTTCAATACTAGTTTTGGGCTCATCCATTTAACGAGGATTGGTTTGTCATGCTTGCAAATGCCAAATGCATCAGCCACACCTCTGCTATTTTTGTTTTTTCTTTTTCTTTATCTTACTGGTTCTCTACATTTCTCTAATGATTGAGGAAGTCATGTGACATGACATAGAGACAATAGAATGAAAGGCATAAACAAACTACGTTGAATGCATATGCTTTGTTGAAAGCCGCATGTGCCTCAAAGGCTTTCCTTTGCTGGACTGCATGCTTCTGTCTCAGCTAATACAAAGTGTATATCCAGTTGCTTTCAGGAGGGAAACCATGTATTGGCATTGATGATTTAAGGAAAGACACACGCTATACTGGAGGTTACTCAGAAGGGACGGACAGTTAAACTCTTTTGGGAGGTAGACATGAATTTTCCCTCTCTTTTTTCTTTGTTTTTTTATGAAACTACAAACGCGATTTCGATCAGTTGAATTTTCTCTCTCCTCCTCTTCTTTTCTTGTTATTTATGAAACTACAAATGTGATTTCATCGGTCTACTTAAACCATCTCAAATGAACATCTCTCAACATTAAGGAACTTGGTCTAAGCAGAGATTCTTTTATAATTCGTATTATCTAAACATATGTATGTGTTTGGTAGTGTTAATATGGAAGAATAAATTATTAAAGACAATTAGCATTTTATAACTAATTGTTCTTGTGGTTTAGGTATTTTCGAATTTGAACCAAGAGAACAGTGTTTGCTGCTTAAGTTTGTGACAAGTTGTTCGCGAGCTCCTTTCTTGGATTCAAACATCTGCAGCCAACCTTCACTATTCACAAGGTATGACCTTCCCTCCTACCCACCCACCCCCCAAAAAAAAATCAAATCACCAGCACCCTTGAAGATCAAAAACAGAAATGAGTTTAAGCCTGAGAATTGTATTATAGGCAATGCTAATTCAAAATGGTCAAACTATGATGGTGAAGTATAATAAGGGGCAAAAAGTATTGAAAGTTGAACTAGCGAAAGAACTCGAAAAAGGAGGGCAAGGAAAGTACTATTGGCAGGTAACTGGTGTGAAATTATTGGTAACTGGCTCCCTGCTTCATTTGGATGGAAAATGCAGGAAAGATGATTTTTGTTTTATATCTTGTAACAAATTCCTGTTGTGTTAGTGAACATGACCTAAGTCTCCTAATAGAGTTTAAGCTAACGTGTTAGTGATGGGATATGAACTTCCTCCTGTGAGCCACTGGCCGATAAGGATCACAACTTCTGAGTGCATCGTCAGATGTGTGGTGGATTTGAGATACAATCAGTAACTTGTGTTTTATGGAAGCTGAAAGGAGGCACTCTTGATTTTGGTTGAATTGTAGACAGTAGACCGTGAGAACGGAGAAATGCCAGTAAATGACTGTACTTTTTCCGATGGATACTATCTATCATTTCTATGCTTCTCAGTTTGCTTCAATGATCTGAGGAATGTGATGCAGAGAAAACTCTTGTACATTTTCCCCTCTAATAAAAACAAACTAAAACTAATCAGAGAAGCCCCTTCCTAAAAAGAAACCTAATTTTATGATGTAAGCAAATTAAAAACGGAAACAAATGCTTCACTTGATCTGGGCCACATTATGTGTCATGCAGATATGCTTCCGACATACGGGGGACAGGATATTGATCCGCTTCCTTCAGCTTCTACTTGGTACAACACTCTCAAGGTACAATATCTTTAATTATTCTACATTAACTTTGAGGTATCGAATGCACCAAATCCAACTCATATAGTCAAATGGAAAATTAAATTAGCTTTCAACAATAGGAACTCTTTCTGTCAAACATACTGCAATCTGTCCTTTTTCTTATGCCTTTGACAGCTTCCGACATACAAACGCCAGAATACATTGAGAGCAAAACTCATGATGTGTGGGTTAGGCGCACCTCACAGGTTTGAACCCTGACATATCTCTGTAGTCACATTTTGGTATCCTTTTTTCTTATCTTTTTCATTTCTTAGGAGTTCTTTTTGTATTCTTTCCATTATTATATCAATCAAACTCAGCTTTATGTTCAATAATTTCTTGTGATATTGCTATTCTAACCTTCACTTGGTCCCTGCATGATAAAGGTTGTACATTCAAATAACAACACACCATGTAAACTAGCATATATATGTATTACTGGTCTTAGCACTAGGTCTTAGCAGTATGTATTACTGGGTTTACTTGGGCTGAATAATAATTTGACCTCTTTTTAGTCACTGTTGTAGTACTGCCTCACAAGGTAATTACATCTAGAATCTCTTGTCTTGTTTTAACATAAAGCATCTGAATTAAACTTTAGAGTCATATACTGATTTCAACTATAACACTAAATATGACCACCATGATTTAAAACTACTAACTAGTGAAACTTAAATACTTGATGCAGATACTTTTTTAGGCTTGAAACAGATTATTGCAACATCTTCTTGGTCAAATAGTCAAGCAAAACACCAACAAATTCTACGAGTAAAAAGAAGTTGGATTAATAAAAGAAGAACAAAAATAGTTAACTGCTTGAGTATTCATAGACCGGTTTCTCTTGAAGGGTAATAAATTTATTTATACTCTTTTGTAGGTGGAGTAGATCAAGAATGGATGATGAAGACGATCAAGAACTAGACCTTACTTGAGACGGTTTGAATTGTTATAGATGAATGTTCTAGGAATCTTTTGTTACCAACATTTTTTGAAACTTATTTACACTCTTGAAATGTACTGAACTTATGCACTTATTGGGTAGAACATTTGCTTTATAGATATTATTTGTTTGATGGATAATTTGTATTATTAATAGTTTCATTCTATGATGTATTTAAATTTTAGTGTTATTATAATTTATTATATGTATAAATATTTATTTATAACAGGTGCTATATTTTGGTTGTAATCGAACTGATTCAATAGCCTACCAGAACCGTTGCAATAGGACACAAATGGCGTTCTAGTAGGCAATGTAAACCGTTGCAATAGGTCCCATAAACCGTTCCAAAATTATCTACAAACCGTTCCAAATAAAAATGTAACCGTTACGATAGCTTAAAGAAATCGTTGCTATATCCAACATAACTGTAGCAATAGCTTACATAAGTGTTGGTTTACATAATATGGCAACGGTTAAAAACCGTTGTATAAACAATATAGTAACGGTTTAAAATCGTAACAATTGAAAAAAATAACCGTTCCAATAGAGAAAGGGAAAACCGTTGCGATAGACGTATCTAATGTCACGGCGATGCAAACCGTTGCAAGAACCGTTCCAATAGACCTATGGGTACGGCGGCTGATGTGACGGTCTATAAACCGTTCCAAAATCCCTACGGCAATGGTTTGGCAGTCTGTGGGAACGGTTTTTCAACCGTTACCGTAGACCAATTTTTCAGTAGTGCCTTTTGGGTCAGCCTGGTCATATGTGTTGCAATAGATGAGAATCCCTCAACAAATCGACGGTAATAACCCGCCAAACCAAGAATACTCCGAATCTTTGTACCCAAGGATGGTCTGGGCCAACTCTGCACAACTTTCACTTTCTTCGGATCCACCTTGATCCCTTCACTAGATACCACATGACCCAAGAATGCCACGGAATCTAACCAGAACTCACATTTTGAGAACTTTGGATATAATCTCTTTTCTCTCAGGGCCTGAAGCACTGTCCTTAGGTGCTGCTCATGATTCCGACTTCGGGAGTACACCAGAATGTCATCAATAAAGAAAATGACGAACGAGTCAAGATATGGCCGGAATACACTGTGCATCAAATGCATAAACATTGTTGAGGCATTGGTCAGCCGAAATGAGATAACAAGGAACTCGTAATGACCATACCGAGTCTTGAAAGTAGTCTTCGGGACATCTGGCTCCCGAATCTTCAAGTGATGATAACCTGAACGCAAATCAATGTTGCAAAACACTCGAACACCCTGTAACTGATCAATAGGTCATCAATACGAGGCAAAGGATACAAGTTCTTCACTATAACTTTGTTCAACTGGTGATAATCAATGCACATACACATAGAACCGTCCGTTTTCTTTACAAACAAGACAGGAGCACCCCAAGGTGACACACTGGGCCGAATAAAGCCCTTATCAAGAAATTCCTATAACTGTTCCTTCAACTCAGGAGGGGCCATGCGATAAGGAGGAATAAAGATGGGCTGAGTGCCTGGCAACAAATCAATGCCAAAATCAATATCTCTATCGGACGGCATGCCCGGAAGATCAACTGGAAACACATAAGGGAAATCCTACACTATTGGGGCTGAATCAACTGTAGGGGTATCAATACTAACATCTCTTACATAAGCTAGATACGCGTCACACCCCTTCGTTGTGCCTTAAGAAATGAAATAACACTACTGGGAGTGTAATCTAAAGTAACCCTCTACTCTAATCGTGGTAGACCTGGCATAGCCACCGTCACGGTCTTGGCGCGATAATCAAGAATAGCATAATGGGGAGACAACCATTCCATACCAAAGATAACATCAAAATATACCATGCTGAGCACTAATAAATCGGCTCTGGTCTCAAAACAACTAAGAGCTATCAAACACGACCGATAAACGCGGTCCACAACAAGAGAATCGCACAGGAGTAGACACATAATTAAGGGAACTCAAAGAATCCCGAGATACGCCCAAATGCGGGGCAAAATAAGAAGACACATAGGAATAAGCGGGGCCTTATCAAATAGAACTGATGCATCTCTATGACAGATCGGAACAATACCTGCAATGATAGAATCAGAAGCAACAGCCTCTGCACGGGCAGGAAGGGCATAGTATCTAGCCTGGCCTTCCCCTCTAAGGTGACCTCTACGTCCCTGACCTCCACCTCTAGCTGGCTGAGTAGGTAGGGTGGCAGCTGGTGTTGTGAACATCGCCTAGGAACCCTGTGGAGCACCCTGTGGCTGAGAAGTCTGTGGAGGTGCGCCCCTCCTAAGACTAGGGAAATCCCTCACCATATGGTGATTGTCGCCACACTCAAAACAAG